GAAGTTATCTTATTTGAAGCCGCTGCTCTCGCGTGGGGCGCTGGTGGCGGTGCAGGAGACTCACGGAACGGAATTGGCCGTGCAAGACTTTCTCTACCATCTCCAGTGTCCTATCCTTGCTTGCTCATCCTTCTTCGGGGGCCCGAACGAGCGCGCGGGGGGTGTCATCGCGCTCGCCTTTGATTTCACGCACCCGCGCAGCGACGATATGCCGCAGATAGAGCGCGCAGTTTTGGTTCCAGGTAGAGCTCTGAGAATCTCCAGAGAGTTTCCGCATACAGAATCATGATTAAGCTTCGGTGGCCACGGCTCATATTGAGGACCAGCTCAATCTTGACCTCCTGAGGGCCCAGCAGAATTTTCTGGTTCCTTTGGTCGTCCAGGTGCGGGACTTCAACATTCCGGCTCGCCCGCCTCGTTCGCTTGCCCGCGATGTACATGGGCGCGGCCTCCTGCTGGCGGATCGCCAGCTCCAACTGGGGCGCGCGTGGGCTCGGGCGTTCGCCAAATTTACCGGGGTGGAGGTGGTGGGAGAAACGCGCGTCAACAAACAGTCGAACGCGCTGAGCACGCCAGATTGCATTTCATGTCTTCGCCTAGTTGGGCGCTGTCGCAGATGAGCTCGTCCGCAGAGATCCATGGCGTGCCGGGGATTATGTGCAAAACACGACTTTCCGACCACTCCGCGGCGGCGGTTTCGTTGGCCCAGCGGGCCAAGGCGGACTTTTCCTGCAGACCGACCCCCGGGGGCCTTTTCAGGCAGCCTGATTTCCGGGGCTATCTCACACGTGCCATGGGCGTCGCTGATGTGTCCGAGTTATCGCCGCTGTCCTGATTGAGTTTCACAAGAGGCTCATGCGCTGTGCTGCTATCCGCGCCAGGCGTAGACTTATCCTGGGCCATCCTCAATGGACACTCGCCGTGTTGATAGTTTTGAAATCGAAATCCAGGGCGCTGTGGGGCCAGGTCGTCAAGCTCGCTCGTCGACTCGAGGGGGCGCGCCCCCCCGGTCGGGAATACTTACAAGTGCAGATAAACCTTTTGTTCGGGGAACCTCACTTAAAGAGGTGCCGACGCACGAGCGTCAGATGCAGCCACCCGCGGTCACTCTTCTCTCGCCGGATGAATTTTTCGAACGTGCGAGCGATGTTCACCGCGCTGCCGCCGACCGCGCAGCATCCGAAGTCCGAGCATATATGCGCCCATGTGCGCCAGAAAAAAAGTCCATTGCCGTCGTCGTCTCCGTGGGATCGCGCGCAGACCAAAGCTCTGGGGTCCATTTGATCGGGAAGTCACGCTTCAAGGGGTTCGACACCGGGGAGAGCGCGTGGCTGATCCTGCCCGAAAGCTTCATGCTCTCGGATTCGGATGGGGCTTTATTCTCTAGCACAAAGATCTCGACGAGGAAGCCTCCGACGTTTATCTGGGTCGATTTGCTCCGAGAGCTGACCTCCAGGACACTCGACCACCCTCGAAATCGACCTGCGACAAAACCCCCCGGAAAGCGAAGCTCTCGGAAACCGGGCCAGATGGCGTCCCATATTTGGCGTGGGCGAATCATTTGCTAGGCAGTTCTCTCCTCGCAGAAGCCGCGTGGTGGTGCCCGGGCGGCGACGCGACGCTCCCGAGTTTCAACCGCTTGCGCGGAGTGTTCCTTCCCAAAGGTGAGGGGGAAGAGGGCGGCTTCTCCGTGGACAGGGGCGTCGAACAGACTCGCCCACCTCGGCCTCGAGAGTTGCGAGTGCAAAGTCATGGCTGCAGCAAGCATATGGGACCTTTGTCGCTCGCCCCCCTCCTTCATCGACAGCTCGCAGACAGGATTTGCGTGCGCGCGAGAAACCAGGGGATGTACGTATTGGAGTTGGATGTGCAAGCGCGCGTGGCATCCATGAGTGAGAGAGCGTCTGTTTATCTTTCTGCCCTGTTCACTTTCGACTTCGGTCGAGCTTTCCCCCCTCCGTCGCCCACTCTTGGCTATTTCTTGTTCTTTCTCGTCCTGGGTTTCCCTCCCCCTCTTTTGGTTTCTTGGGGCCACCTGCGGCCGCGTGGGATGCGCGGGCGCGCGTGGGCCCGAGACGATGCGTGTGTTTTTCATTCGCTCGAGGATCGTTTAGGGGTGTCCTGCGTCGGGGGCCCTCCTGCGCGATTGCCCCCCGCCCTTTCCTCGCCTTCTTCTCCTCGTCCCTCGAAGCTCCCGGGTGAAGGGGTCGCCCGAGCATGCGCTGGCGATGTAGGCGGCGTGGTGTTTCAGCTTCAGTGCTCGAAGGTTTCGTATCGCGTGTTTCGAGCCGCCGAGCGGCTTGCCGCCCTGCGCCTGAACCGCCAGAAGTGTTTTGCGGTCCCGCGCGCAGACATTTTTTCCAGCAGTTATAGGGCCGGGATAGCAGCGAACATTCCTGAGTGGAGCAACTTTGTAATCGGCCCGTCGTTGAGGCACCTTGGGCTGCGGTTAGGGCCAGGTGTTCCAGATGATTCGTGGCTGGAGCCCCGTGGCGAGTTTCCGCGCAGGACCGCAGCCATCGCTGCGAACGGGGCTTCGACAGCGATCAGTGCTGCTCATTACTCGAAGCCTGCCCTCCCCTTCCTCTCGTGCGTTGGTTAGTTCCTGTCGCCGTCAGTTTTTTCTCTCCATCGAACCTGGAGTGCACCATCCCCCGGCAGCGACCAGGGAATTTTGGCCTCCCGGGAGCGACCGGGGGATTTCTCCCATCGAACGAGCGAATGGGGATTTTGGCCTCCTGGGATCGTCCAGGGGAGGCCCCTAGCCCTCTTGGGCCCGTCTTGGACTCGTCTAAGGATCTCTTTGAGAATGCTGGAAGCCATCTCGGGCGATATTGCGCTGTCTTGGGCCATCTTGGAGGTCGCCTACTTCGAACGAAGGTCAAAGGCGAACAACACGAGCTATCTGCTGCCGTTGTGGCTCACAGCAGCGCCCAGCTGACGCATAGTTGCACAGCTTGCCGTCTACCACTGCGTATTGCAAGCGTACATCGTATTTTGACCATGCCACCTCTTGCATCCATTGTTCTATATTCCTTGTCGCCATTCAGTAGCTACGCTACGTCGCGGCTGGGATATTGGGGTCGTCCAAGACGATCTCTGTGTAACTGCCCACTATGCCACTTTCGACTTGGTAGCGGAGCTGGCCTCTCTACCGTGTGGCTGGCTCTGATTCTGATACCAATATTCCACGGCGCAGTTTGGTGGACTACCAACGTGGTGGTTCTTACTGCGCCAGCGTTTCTTTTGCGAAACCGAGCTAGGATACTGGCTTGTTTGCGACGGTGCACCCATCGACGAACACGTCGACCACCAACTGCCAAGGGGCAACCAATTTCATGCCAATGTGATCCTACGTGGCCTGATGTCGCATCGCGGCCAGGCGCGACATGGCGACGCCACTCCCGCGCCCATCCGGAAGCTGACGGCCACGCCAGCCCCAGAAAAGAAGAGAAAAAACATATAAAAAACATGCCAACACACCCGTGACGAAGACCCCACCATGCACCATTTCAATATCTCGGTCTTTGGTATCAAACGGATCTGCCTCGGTCTTGCGGTCGGATACATGCGACGAGGATGGGGCAGCACCCGTGCTAGAGATGCCTCCTGGGACCCCGCAGGCAACGCGCCCTTTCGCGAGTTCGTCCGCGAAGTTCAGTCATGGTTGAAAGCTGCGATCGGCACGAGGAGATCACCCCAGTAGGCCGCTGCACAGCGTGGTCTTAGTGGTCTCGCGAGGACTATCCCGATGAGTGCCGTTCCACATCATCAACTACGGAGTGGCAGTCCAAGGTCAACGCGGCGACGCAGCAACTTACATCATGTCCCTCCTCAGTTCAAAGTTCGAAAACTTACAGGGCGAACGACAACTAACGCCTCTCACGGCCCTCGTCGACTTCTGCGTTGAGCATCGCTGGTGAATCGGTGCGATTTTAGCCCGCGTGAAGATGGCAACGCTGAAAGCTGACTTAACCGTCTTTAAAATTCCCAGCTTCCACATCCTGAGGATCATCCTGACTCGGGCCATTGGAGTTGGCACCTCAAGTGCCTCACAGTTCTTATAACCGCTCAACCACCAGATGCTTCGTACCCAACAGCAGTGCGATCAACTAATGCAGCGCATTTGCACCTACGCTCACATAGCATAACGTTCTGCACTTAACATTGGCAGCATCTTCAATGGGCGCGGGAACTACGCAGGCGCATTCCATGCCACCGCCGGCAACGCCCAAACCGCAGCAGGGCCACTTGCAACTAACAACACCTGGGGGAAACCCTCCAGAAGCCCGTCGCTACTAGGCCATGGATCTGGCGGCGCAGAGTCAAGTGGCGCCACGTGGGCGCAGAGCCCTAGGCAACGGGCGGCCTACGCACCACCGTCAGACCCAGCAGCCACTTTTGGGGAGAGTCAGGGGAACCTGCCTCTCGTTTCGACTCTGGCACCGTCTCCCGCACCGTCTCATCATTCGGTTTTGAAGACCGACGGTTGACGGACGTGCAAGTATTTTCATTTCAAGGACAGACCGATTGCTGAGTACTTACTTTCAAAAGATCAACATGTTAGCTGTCTTTAGAAACGATCCGTCAAGGAGCCCAGTCGACGTGTTGGGCACGTGCGAATATTCCACGGCAGGGGGAGGCGCCGAGGTAAGGGGCAAGGGCTGGCGGAGATTACGCGGGCGTGGTGTTGTTACGCTCCTGGCATCTCATGCGGACCATGAGTTTGACATCTTCCTCGGTCGAGGAATGGGTAAGGGGTGCCGACGCACGTCGGTAAAGGGGCGATTGATTTACTTTCTGGCCCAGAACGGGCACCGTGCGAAGTGCAACACCTGTGGTAGTGGTAACCATTTCCAGCCCAGTGCTCACAAGACAAGGGGAAGGGGGGGGATTCCGTACCTCTTGGCTCAGAAAATATTGACAACAATGTCGAGTGCCCTGATTCTCCCCGTCTTTTCGATTCACCGTCGGCAGCCGTGCGGGCCACCTACTTCCTGATGGCGCGCTTCGCTGCGGGGCCCGAGGGAGTCGGGCAGTGCGCCGCCGACCTCTCCGACGACGCGTCGTACGGCTACGAGGAGGAAGCCGCGCCGTTCCAGGACTTGCTAGGTATGCCCTGGTTTACGCGTGTTGGAGGATAGCGACGTCGAGAACATGGGCGCTACCTCTGATACCGAGACAAACCTGATGATTCTGGACGAGCGCGATGCCCCTTTGCGCGGACAGGTGGTCGGCATCGCCGCCGAAGAGCTGAGCGACGACGGCTGAGTACCGCGGCCGAATACGGCCGCCAGTGAAAGTATTTTTGCTTGCCAGCCTCGCACAAACGGCTTGTTAACTTGTCTAGAGTTCGAAAGGGCATTCACCCCTGTTGCGCGGGCCCGTCACGAGCGAGTTGTGACCTCGCCCATGTTCGCGTGGTTTCAGTCGCCGCGTCTGAGGTTTTGGCGGCCTACAGGGAGCGAAGGCCGCCACCCTCCCCGCCCTTGGAGGTGCCCCCCCCCTTCCCCTTGGAGAGCCGAGGTGGCTGGAAGGGGGGGGGTCTCTAACGGGGTCCTCGGGGTGGCGGACCTTTTCTCTCCTCTTCGCCCCTCTTCTCTCTGTGGCACGCTGTGCTTCGCAAAACGTCAAAAAAGCCTTTTTCTCCGCCTCCGCCGCCTCCTCCTCCTCCGCCTCCTCCTCTTCCGCCGCCCCCCCTCGAGTCCCCGCTCCTTCTCCGCCGTGTCCTTTCGCCCCCCTCCCCTCTCCTCCGCTCCCCTCCCCTTCCTCCTGCCAGAGTTGGGTTTTGGTTATCGTTCGTTGTTTGTTTGTTTTGTCGGTTTTTTGTTTTGGGAAGGTTTCAGCAAGAGTATTATTTTTCAAATTTAGGCTTGCCTGCGAGGTTGTTACTTGGCTAGAGGTTGGTGCGTCGGGGGCTTTCTTTACCCGTTCCCCGGGAATTCCTCGCATTCTCCAGTTTTCCCGGGTTCTTTGGGTTCACCAGGTTCCCCAGAATCCTCGGGCTCCCCAGGTTCCCCGGGTTCCCCGCCCCCGGTGCTTCGTTTTCTTGGCGTGCCCGGTCCAATCGCTGCCGAGCACTGCCAGGCACCGCCAGGGACTGCCAAGCAATGCCAAGCAATGCCAGGCAGTGCGCCCGTGCAGTAAAAGGGTTCTCCCCCATTCGGGTCGCGCCGGGTTCGTGCATTGGGGCCTTGGACTCCCCGAACCCCCCCCCCTCTCCCGAGGCTTCCGGCCGCCGGCGGTGGCCCCGATGCCGCCCCGCCTGCCCGGCGCCGCGGGAGGCCCGGGCGCGCCCGCCTCCCTCTCTCAGAAGGCTAATGTTGTGGAGGGCGATCAGTGGAGAGGAAGCGTGCCGCCAAATAGTTTCCAGATGTCGAAAACATGTTTCAACCGTGTTTTCAATGTGCAAAACCATTGTAGAAACATTTGTTGAGCAGGCTTTTCCACATTTGAAATACATTTAGGACTGTTAGAGTGTCCATTGTCATGGCATCCACAAGGCTAATGGATTCCCGAGCCTTCAGGGAAGGACCGCCCCTTTTCACCTCACCCCTCGCTCGCCGCCGATAAAAGAGTGACGCTCTGGGCTCAGAGGGTCTCTTTCTCTTTGGGGGGCTCGAAGGGGGAAGGTTGTCCCAAGGCGGGGCTGGGGAACTGGCCCAGTTGGATACTCTCGGTTAGCGCGCTTTTCCTTCTTCCAGGGGGCCGTTCGCAACGATTTCCCTCCCACCATTCCAGCTTTGCCTCTGAACCACCTTTGTGTCCCCCCCATATCTCTCTCTCTCTCTCTTGCGGAGGCTCGTAGAAGTAGGGTCCTCCCGAGGTGGGGCCAGGGGGGCGGGGCCAGCTGGATGCTCCTGGTTAGCGCGCTTTCTTCTTCCAAGGGCCGTTCGGAGCGATCTCCGCCATGGAGTGCGCTTCGCGCCGCGCGCCTCTCCTTGCGCGCCTCTCCTTGCGCGCGCGGGCCCCGCGCCTCTCGCGTGCCCCTCCCGCGGGTGCGGTGCCGCGGCGCCTGGCGCGCGGCGTCTCGCCCTCGTCCTCGGCCTCCGCGGCCGCCGGGCCGACCCTGGAGGGTGCTTTTTGCCCTCTGGGCCATGACGCGCGTTGGGCCCCCTACCCTACCCCTTCTCTGTCCCCCCCTCCCGTCGCCCCCCCCCCATAACGTAACGCTTCCCCCCTTCAGTGCGTCCCGGGCACTGCCGCAGTGCGTCCGGCACCACCGTCTGGGGGGGGTGCGCTGCGTTATGCCCCTGCCGCCCCCCCCCGTCCCCCCCCCCCCCCCCATAACGCCCGTTGTGGCCGCGAATGAAGAATTGCGCCGCTCCTGCGTGGCGACGAGATCACGGCTCGAGCGGAGGAGCACGCTGTCCGCGTTTCGAGCTGGTCGGGGTCCTCGTTCTCTCTTCCCTCCGACGGCGGAAGGCTCTGAGCCCTTCTCGGCCCCTGGGGGGCCCTTGCTGGGCCCTGGGGCCGTCAGAGAGTGGGCCAGGACGGCAGGCCGGTGCCCGGGAAGGGGCCCAGGCCTCTGGGGGAGCCACGGAGTGCGAAGGTCACGACGTCGGATGCCTGGGCGCCCTGGGCTCGTGGCGTGGCACCTTTTTTTCCGCACCCGGCGTTTTCGCCCTGCTTCGGCCCCCAGTGGCCCTCGCGGATCGACTGGCTCGAGAAGTGCCGCGGGAAGGCGGAATCTGGGGTCCTTCGAGCTGGCGGCGGCCAGCCACAGCCACGCCCGCCTCCCCTCGTAGCCAGCGCGGGCCTAGAGGCCCGACGAGGACACAGAACGCCCTCTGAGGCGCGAGGCATCACCGAGCGCGGTCCACCACTCGCAAAGTGCCTACTCGCAAACGTCCGAAACCAAAACATGTCGGCTTTGATGCAATCTATCGTAGATCCCCTGCGGCGTATCCAGACCAGTTGCGAGTAGGTACTGTGCGAGTAGTGGAGCGCGCTCGCCTAATGCAGCTCCCCGCGTGGCAAACCGGCCTCGAGCACCGAGCCTTCCTTGCCGCAGGAGCACTGGGCCTGCGGCGATCGTCCCAGCTGCGCGCCTCGTGGATGCCGACGGTGCTGCTTTTTTTCGCAGCGGCGGGTCTCGGGATGTGGACGACGATCAATGGAGAGGCAGCATGCTGCCAAATCATGTCCTGATGGCCAAGACATTTTGATTCCATGATAAGGATTGTTAGGGTGTCCACTGTCGTGGCATCCACAGGTCTCGGGGGAGGTGCGTGGCCCGCTCGCTGGTGCTCGCACCTCCACCCCTCTGCGCCAGCGCGTGCCCTCGGTGGCATCTCGTGGGCGCCATGTGTGTCCTCAGAATTCGGTCGTCAGGGTGAATTCGTGTGCCGTAGCGGGCGGTATCGTTAGGCAGTCGATGAGAGAACGCCGATCAACCGTTGATTGGTGTCGACTTGGCGTCGCTTGGCGTAGACAGGCGTCGGTTTGCGTCGAGTCGCAAGGGTCGGCAAGATGGCACGGAGGCCTCCAGCGAGTTGCCACAGAACTCTGCGCCAGCGCGTGCCGCCAGCAGCGGCCAGCGGTCGGCTCGGGTCCGCACCGCAGCCACGCCAGAGCAGGCCCTCGCGGCGGCCGCGAGGGTGCGCTCGCGCGGGCGAAGCGCAGGCGCTGCCAGCCTCTCGTCTTCCTCCTCGAGTTGTCGCCAGCTCTTCCTCCGAGATGGCCCAGGTCACCCTCGGTCGCTCCCAGTGTGAGCTGTGCGTGCGAGTCTTCGACTCGAGTCGTTGTCCTCGCCATCCCCCTGATGGGCTGAACGGTCGCACAGCCTCGCTCGCGTCTCCCGCCTGGCTCTGGCTGGTGCTTCCGCGGTCCTCTCGTCGGGCTGTGCCTCAACCTCCTCATCCTCCCTGTTGTCGGCCCCCACCTGGTCCGCTTCCTGCTCCCTGCTCTCGTGCTCCTGGGTCCCTCCGAGCTGCACTGCCGGCCACGAGCTCCCTGTGCCCCGACCCGTGCCCGCTCAGTCGTGTCAGTGTCGGCTGCGCCTGGTTCGGCCCCAGCTGCTTCGGTTACCTCGGTCACCCGTGGGGGCGCGAAGATGACCGCGCTTCGCGCGCCGCGGTCTGGGCCAGAGCGGCTGCCCTTCTCCAATTGAGCGGCCTCGAGGGCGCGAGGGTGCGAAGAGAGTTGCGCGTAGCGCACCGCGTGGCGCGACAAGCGAAGTTAGGTGACCTAGGTTACGCCTGGTTCCACTCGTCCCCAAACCGCGTCGATCTGTTTCGGCTTCGCGCCCGTTTCGGCTTCGAGTCCATCTCGACCCCCGTTCCGCCGTGGTGAAGGCCTCGGTGCTGAGACGGGGTGCTGCCGAAACGGGCTGGGGCCAATACTGGCTGGGCGCCGAGTAGGGGCTGGGGGGGGGGGTCGAAGCGGTTTGGGGCCGAAGCGGACGCGGAGCCAGATCGGGTTAGTTTTTGCTCTGGCAGGCCTGGGATCGGGATGCATCGCTCCAGAGCGGTCTGAATCGCTCGCAGAGCTTTCTGGGACGCTCTGACACGGCCAGCGCCCCATCTATCCTCCAGACCTGTCAGCACTCAGAGGTCCCTGATTTATCCCTCTTACCTGCCCCTGCCCTGGCCCCTGCCCCGTGCATTCCTCCGCCGCCCAAGCCGACGCGCGCGCCGAGGCCCGCGGCAGCCTGCCGCGAGGCCGGGCGGCGGCGCGCTGGCGTCTGCCATGATGCCACCGACGGGGGTAGCCATGCAGCCGCCGAGCGGCATGAAGCCGCCGGCGGGAGGCTGCGCATTCCAGCCGCCCAGCGGCATGAAGCCGCCAGCGGGAGGCTGCGCATTCCTGCCGCCCGTCGCATTCCAGCCGCCCAGCGGCATGAAGCCGGCGGCGGGAGGCTGCGCATTCCAGCCCCCCGGCGGCATGAAGCCGCCGGCGGGAGGCTGCGTATTCCAGCCGCCGCCAAGCGCTGTGATGCAGGCGCCAGCGGCGATGCAGGCTCCGGCGGCGATGCAGGCTCCGGCGGCGATGCAGGCGCCAGCGGCGATGCAGGCGCCAGCGGCGATGCAGGCGCCAGCGGCGATGCAGGCGCCAGCGGCGATGCAGGCGCCAGCGGCGATGCAGGCGCCGGCGGCGATGCAGGCGCCGGCGGCGGTGCAGGCGCCAGCGGCGGTGCAGGCGCCAGCGGCGCTGCAGGCGTCGGCGCTTCAGGCGTCGGCACTGCAGGCGTCGGCGCAGGCTCCAGCGCTGCAGGCGATGCAGGCTCTGGCGGCGATGCAGCATCCAGCGGCGATGCAGCAGCCGACGGAGCAGGCGCCCGCGATGCAGGCGCCGCCAGGCATGACGCCGCCCCCCGCTGCCAAGGTGCCTCGCCTGGGGCCCCCCCGTGGCCTGTAGGCGGTGGCGGCGGCGGCGCGCTGGCGGCCTCTGGACGGTTGGCGCCCCGGCGCCGGGCCTGTCGCGTGCGCGCGGCGTGACCCCGCCGCGGTACAAATGTGGCGCGGGGGCGCCGGCACGGGGGACTGGCAGGGGCGACGTAGGGGGGTTGAATGGGCCTGTAGGGGGGAGGAATCGACCATGGATAGGGGGCCCGATGGCCCACTCCGCCCATGAACGTGCGCGCTTTCGCTATCAGGGATCTATTGCCGTCAACACGGCGTCATGAGGTCTGCGATGATTGGAGCAATTTGTATTAAGTGATCCGCGCCTTTCAATTTGCAGCTGACACGAGGGTTGACAGCAGTCGTCGTTTTGTATGGGTACCCTCATTCTGTTTAGTTTGGGCTCACCTTGGCTTGCTCTACGGAGCCCTTTGCGAAGGGGCTCGTGTTCTTGGCCCTCGATCTTGTGACCACGCTTCGACTGTAGTACACCTTCGCTGCAATCCGCACGTCACGTACAGACGCTTCCGCGTCCAACAGGTTGGGAAGCTGGGGCGTCTACACACCGAGCTCCTCACCAAACGACGTTGTGTACGCATCGGCGCATCGGCCATTCCAATTCCGCTTCGATCTGATTTCGGCGTCCCCCCAACAAACTTTAACTATGTGTTCGTCGCCCCCCAGAGGCGACGCGCGCACCGAGAACTCTTACAGTAGATGCGTCGTGGCGGGCGCTTTCTGGCCACACCGCTTGAGAAACGATACGCTACAAGATGGGTATACTATGTGTTCGGGTCGGACGCGCGCCTCCAAGGCGGACATATGGTATTAGTATGTCTCTGTGCGTCCCATGATTCATGAGGGCAAAAGCACACAGACACAATTAATCGTCGATCCCCCAGAAAATATAAGAAAATATGGGAAGTGGGGGAGAAGACACCCCCCCCAACACATGGGAAAATATGGGGAATAGTTTGATTTGTGTGTATTTATTTGTGTGTCCTGGGGCCCCCTTTAATGATTTCCCGACTACATGTTCTTCGCATCCCCGACTACTCGCTCCGCGCCGAGGCAGACGCGTCCAGGCCACTGTGGGGGAGGAGCCCTGGGCAGTCCACCGAGCACGCCGCCTGGTAAGCAGACCGTCGCTCTGGGAGGAGGAGGAGGAGGAGGAGGAGGAGGAGGAGGAGGAGGAGGAGGAGGAGGAGGAGGAGGAGGAGGAGGAGGAGGAGGAGGAGGAGGAGGAGGAGGAGGAGGAGGAGGAGGGGGGCGTGCAGATCATTGGAAGCTCGCAGCGTGGGCGTCCAGGGATCCAGCATCAGCTGGCTTCTGGCTGCGGCCGCGGGGTCCGCCGTGCCATGGGCAAGGCCGTCAAGGCGCCGCCGGCCAGGGCGGCTCCCAAGGCCGCGGGCTGGAGGGGCGGAGGGTCGGGTCGGACGAGAAGGGGGAGGGGAGGATCGGGCAAGGGGGGGGGGTTGCGCAGCACCCCGCAAGTGCGGAGAAGAGCGAGGTGGGCGGGTGCAGGGCGCGTCGCGGGGTAGGCGGCAAGCGGGTCGCAGGGTGGTTTGGGCCGAGGGTGGGTCGGGGGTGGGTTGTGGGGGGACGAGGGAATCCAACTTCGCCCACGCACCCAGGGGTAGCGTCAGACCGTTCGGTCCCTGACTCTGACGAACTCTGCTGCGTGCAGCTGGTTTCGACCCCGCCGCCAGGCGTTTTCCTCGATGCACTGGCGCCTTCGCCGCCGGGAGGCGCTGGGAGCACCAGCTACTTGTGCCGATTCGCACGCCATGACTCTCACTACGTCGCCACTTCCGTCCGACTGTCTTCGTCGGGATCGTAGTTTTCGTCGACTTCGTCTTCGTCTTCGTCTTCGTCTTCGTCTTCGTCTTCGTCTTCGTCTTCGTCGTTGTCGTTGTCGTCGTCGTCGTCGTCGCCGTCGTCGTCGTCGTCGTCGTCGTCGTCGTCGTCGTCGTCGTCTCCTCTCCTGGGAATGCTAGTTGCATTCGCTTGATGACAATTTTATGAGTAAAGCTCCACATCGTGCTTTCGGGCATCAGGGCGCCAACGCGCTTCCGGCGGCGTTTCGACGACACCGCCGTGCTCTTCCGACCCAGGAAGAGGAGGATAGGGGGTGGTCAGGCGGCGCCTGCCACCGTGGGCCCCGTTGCTCTCCGTCTTCGTCGCTTCACGCTGTCAGAGTAGTACAGGCACATCAAATAAGACATCGGCCTGCCAGCAGGTGCCCCTTCTCTGAGCACGACCGATTCAATGGCGATGTATCTCCGATTCTAGGGCGATGCTCCCCCCTCTGAGCACCTCCGATTCCAGGGCGATGCGTTTCCGATTCCAGGTCGATACTTTCCCCCCTGGGCATAGCAGGGCGGTGTATCTCCGATTTCAGGTCGATGTTCCCCCCCTGAGCACCTCCGATCCTAGGGCGAGGTATCTCCCATTCCAGGTCGATGCTTCCCCCCCTGAGCATCCCCGATTCTAGGGAGTTGTTCCCCCCCTGAGCACTCCAGGGCGATGTGTCTGCAATTCCAGGGCGATGTTCCACCTCCTGAGCACCTCCGATTCCAGGGCGATGTATCTCCGATTCCAGGGCTATGCTTTCCCCTTGAACATTCCTATCTCCGATTCCTGGGCCATGTCACCGCCCCCGCCCTAAGCACCTCCGATTCCTGGGCGATGTATCTCCGATTCCAGGGCGATGCTTCCCCCCGCTGTGCATTCCAGGGCGATGTATCTCCGATTTCAGGTCGATGTCCCCCCCCTGAGCACTTCTGGTTTCCGTGCGATGTATTTCCGATTCCAGGGCGATGCCCCCCCCTCCCTGGGCACATCCAATTCTGGGGCGATACATCTCCGATTCCAGATCGATGCTCCAGAGCCGTGCATCTTTGATCCCAGGTCGATGTTCCACCCCTTAGCACCTCCGATTCCATGGCGATGTATCCCCGATTCCAGGGCGATGTTTCCCCCCCTGACCAACTCCGATTCCATGGCGATGTGTCGCCGATTCCAGGTCGATGTCCCCCCCCTGAGCATTCCAGGACGATGTATCTCCGATTCCAGGGCGATGTTCCCCCCTGAGCACGTCCGATTCCAGGGCGATGTATCTCCGACTCCAGGGCGATGTCCCCCCCCCCCGAGCACCGGCGATTCCAGGGCGATATATTTCCGATTCCAGGTCGATGCTTCCCCCCTGAGTATTCCAAGGCGATATATCTCCGATTCCAGGTCGATGCTTTCCCCCCTGAGCATTCCAGGGCGATGTATCTCCGCTTCCAGGTCGATGTTCCCCCGCTCAGCACCTCCGATTCCAGGGCGAAGTTCCTCCGATTCCAGGGCGAATTATCTTCGGTTCGAGGTCGATGCTTCGCCCCCTGATCATTCCAGGGCGATGCGATTCCGATTCCAGGTCGATGCTCCTCCCTTTGCGCACCTCCGATTCCAGGGCGAAGTACCTCCGATTCCAGGGCGATGTTCCCCCCCCCCCCCCATGAGCACATCCGATCCCAGGGCGGCGATGCATGCCCGATTCCAGGGCGATGTGTTCCCGATTCCAGGTCGATGCTTTCCCCCCTGAGCATTCCGGGGCGATGAGTCTCCGATTTCAAGTCGATGTTCCCGTCGTGAGCACCCTCGAGTCCAGGGCGATGTATCTCCGATTCCAGGGTGATGTTTCCCCCCCCGAGTACCTGTGATTCCAGGGCGATGTATCTCCGATTCCAGGTCGATGTTCCCCCCCCCTTCCCCTTAGCACCTTCGATCCCAGGTCGATGCTTTGCCCCCTGAGCATTCCAGGGCGAAGTGTCGCCGATTCCAGGTCGATGTCCCCTCCCCCCAGCACCTCCGGTTCCAGGGCGATGAGTCTCCAATTCCAAGTCGATGTTCCGCCAATTAGCACCTCCTGTTCCAGGGCGATGTACCTCCGATTCCAGGTCGATGTCTCCCCCCCTTATCACCTCCGATTCCAGGGCGATGTATCTCCAATTCCAGGTCGATGCTTCACCTCCTGAGCATGCCAGGGCGATGTATCTCATATTCCAGGTCGATGTTTCCCCCCCCGAGCACCTGTGATTCCAGGGCGATGTGCTTCCGATTCCAGGTCGATGCTTCTCCCCCTGAGCATTCCAGGGCGATGTGTCTCCAATTCCAAGTCGATGTTCCCCCCCTGAGCACCTGTGATTCCAGGGCGATGTATCTCCGATTTCAGGTCGATGTTCCCTCCTGAGCACCTGTGATCCCAGGGCGATGTGTCTCCGATTCCAGGTCGATGCCCCCCCCCCCCCCCCCCCCTGAGCACCTCTCCCTATCATTGACCCTCCCGGACGGCGTCGAGAGCCCCCCCCCGCTGGCACGCGAGGCGGGGGGCACCGCGAAGAAGCTCAGCCAGAAGGCGCTAGCGGCGCTCGCTCTCCGCCGTCCAGCCTCGGGGCCTTCGACGAAGGACTCGCCGTCGATCGTCGTCGATCCCCAGACATGGTCGCCAAGGGCACCTTCAAGGGCGCGGAATTATTTGCGCTTTGCGCTTCGCGGTTCGGCTTCGATTCCTTCCTATCGTCCTTTTCTCCCCTGGGGGACGGCGCGAGAGCGCGAAGCTATTCGCGCTTCGCGCTTCGCGCTTCGCGCTTCGCGCTTCGCGCTTCGCGCAGCGCCAAGCGCCAAGCGCGAAGTTTGGCGCTTTGGTTCGCGTCCGTCCAAAAATCGCGACGGACGGTTCACGGGGTCGGGAAGCGTCGGCTCCTTCCCGTGGCCAGCGGGCCCTGCCAGAGCGGCCAGGGGGGGCGGTCTCGGTGCCTCCTCGTGGTGCCCAGTAGCCAGGCTGCTGGCGTGACGGATTATGAGGACGGTGAGGATGATGACGGTGATGATGATGGTGGTGATGATGATGATGACGATGCTGGTGGTGGTGGTGATGATGATGGTGTTGATGATGATGATGATGATGATGATGATGATGATGATGATGATGATGATGATGATGATGATGATGATGAGAGTGAGAAGGAGGATGAGGAGGAAGAGGAGGAGGAAGATGCTGGAGAGGATGCTGACGATACTGACGACGATGATGATGACGATTACGATTACGATGCTGCTGCCGATGATGATGATGAGGATAGTGCTGCTGCTGCTGCTGCTGCTGATGATGATGATGATGATGATGATGATGATGATGCAGCTGATGGTGATGCCGATTCTGAGTATGATGATGCTGCTGATGATAATAATGCTGCTGATGGTGATGACGATGATCAGACATGATATGATGATGATGATGATGATGATGATGATGATGATGATGATGGTGATGATGATGATGATGCTGTTATTGCTGAGGATGTTAATGATGATGCTGACGATGATGATGCTGATGATGATGATGGTGATGATGATGATACTGATGATGCTGATACTGATGATGCTGATGATACAAATGATGATGCTGCTGATGATGACGATGATGGCGATGACGACGATGATGAGGATGATGATGCAGATGATGATGCTAATGATGCTGATGATGCTGCTGCTGATGATGATGCTAGTCATGATGCTGCTGCTGATGATGTTTACGATTATCATGCTGATGATTATGATACTGCTGCTGCTGATCATGCTGCTGCTGATGATGCTGCTGCTGATGCTGATGCTGATGCTGATGATGCTGCTGCTGATGATGGTGGTGATGATGATGATGGTGGTGATGATGATGGCGATGATGATGATGCTGCTGATGATGATGATGATGCTGCTGCTGCTGCTGAGGATGAGGATGAGGATGAGGATGAGGATGAGGATGAGGATGAGGATGATGATGATGATGATGATGATGATGATGATGATGATGATGATGATGATGATGATGATCAGGATGATGATCAGGAGGATGATGAGGATGAGGATGAGGATGATCAGGATGGGTTAATCAGTTCAATAATCAGTGCTGATGTGGAAGTGTACAGTTGGGGTTGTATCGTGAGTTTTCCCACCGTGCCGACGAGAGACGGATGACGCGCAGAGGATGTCGGCCTGGAAGCTCGCGCGGCGGCGCGCCTTGCAGGGCGCGGCGAGGTGCGAGCGCGACTGCCGGGGGCTTGCTCCGACTGGCGGTCAACCGACGGTGCTCGACTCAAGACGAGGAGCGCAGGTTGCCTGCGCAGGAGAGCGAAAGGGAATCACCAAACATGTTGCTCTGGGCGCGCTTGCCATCGCCGAGCCTCAGGGCGACCGCGTGGTTGACCTGCTGGAGGCGCTGCCGGAGGGCGATCGCGCCTTCTGCAGGGAGGGGGGGGGGGCGTGCTGGGCTGCAGCGGGAAGTCAGCCCTCCCCTCCCTCCTCCTCCTCCTCCTCCTCCTCCTCCTCCTCCTCCTCCTCCTCCTCCTTTAGCGCTGCTTAGTGCGACGGCGGCGGCATTTTCGGGTTTCACCCTGGCTCGGTTTGCGAGCGTGGCGCTTGTGTCACCTGGTCCGATGCTGGGGCGCGGGGGAGAAAACAAAATCTTCGAGCAGTTAGAGGCGCGCTTCGCGTTCGTGGGCGGGTCGACCGACGCCGGCGCGAGGTACCTGCTGCCCGACGATCTCCCGAAGGACGCGTGGGCCTTCGAGGCGACCGAGGACGCGCGGGCCTATTGCGGCTTCAGCGTCGCGTCGAAGAAGGGCATGACGAATCAGCGTAATATCCTCATGCTGTGTGCGAGTAACTACGTCTAGGCCGACCCCCGCGTCAGAGGCGACCGCGGGGTGCGCGGCGGGGCGGCGTTGGCTTCGATGCGCGGTGCGCGCCGCCTGAGTCGTGACGGCCTTTGACGAGGGCAATGCCCTCGCGCGGCTGCGGGTCCCAGCTTGGATGGCGAGGTGGCAGGCGTGCGCGTGATGGGTCTGGGGGAAGCTGAAAAGACGGCTCCAGGACCAGTTGGGGCCCGCAGAGTCGGTGGCTCCATGTTGCCGCCGCCTGGCCATGGGCTGCTTGCACTTGGTGCGCCTGCTCGCTCGGTGCGCCTGCTCGTGGCGGTCAGCGCGGCGGTGATCGGCAGGGCGCTGCTGGGCGCGGGGGCGCGGCTCGCGGCGCTCGGGAAGGGCTCGGGCGGAGAGGCCACCTCGTCGCCCGAGGGCGGGGGGCTGGGCGGGGCCCGCCAGCCCGAAGGGCCCGAGGGGGCGGAGCAGGCGCACCGCTACGACGACGACTGGGCGGCCCAGCAGGCGAAGTGCAGGCCCCCCCCCCCCCGCGGGGGCGCGGTTTCGGAGTGGAGTTGTGGATCGGGGCGGTGGAGGAGGCGAAGAGGGAGGTGGGGCGCGTGCTGGTGGCGATGCGCCTGTTTGCGGGGCGCCGGCGGGAGAGCGACGTGGGGGCAGTGGTGGAGAGGGTGGCCGAGGAGCGGGGCCTGCGGGTTGCGGGCCCTCATCCTCTCGGCGGACTTGGTGGGCGATGCCCGCTGAGACCTGGCCAGCCTCGCCGCCTTCTCGTCGCCTGGCCCAGGGGGCTGGGTCCACGTGGTGCTCGGCGCCCCTGGCGGGCCCGCCGCAGCGGGCCAGGCCCACCTCCGGCGCGCTCTAGGCTCTGCCCGCGGGGCCTGCCGGGCCTGCGAGCATGGGGGGCGGCCAGAGTGGCCGAGTGCAACGCCCGGGCGCTGCGCCTGTTGGCGGTTTGTGGGGCGCGCGGCCGATGCGGGGGCGTCTTCCTCGCGGGGCGCCCCGAGGGCCCATGGCGCGCGCCTTGCCCGTCGACGTGGAACGCAATGGAGGCGCAGAGGTTTGAGCAGCGACGTGGGGCTACCAGGGCGCGCCTGGACTGGCGCGTGCTGGGCGGGCGGGCGAGGGGGCCCACTTGCCTCGGCGGAGCGGCGCTCGAACGCGACTGGCTGAACGGAATGCGCTGCGACGGAGCTCGCGCCGGCGAGCCCTCCGAGGGCAGGCTGGCGCCCTCCGCGCTGGCCCCTCGGCCCAGCGTTCGACGGAGATGCGCGAGAGGTGGGCGACCCGGTGCCGGCGTCGCTGGGCCACGTCAGCGAGAGCGGCACGGGGGGCGCGGGATGGCGTGGCGGCGTGGGGCGAGCGCAGTGTCGCGAGGCCGGCGGTGGCGCTCAGGAACGAGGAAGTGCTCGGAGGCCGTGGTCTGGAGCTGCGCGGCCCGCAGATGGCCTTCTATTTGCGCGTCGACGACGGGGTGTGATGGCGGGGGGGCCGATGGGAGGGCGGCGTGGCCGCGACCGCCTCGTGTGCTGGCGGGCGCGCTCGCCGAGGCGGGATTCGCGGTGGCGGGTCGCGCCGAGGCCGCGGGCGCGCAGAGTGCTGGGCTACTCCCCGCAGAGGGCCCCCGCCCAGCTTCGGCCCCCGCCCGCTCGAGCGCGAGAGCTGGTGGCGCAGCTGGAGGCGATGGTGACGGGGGGGCGCGTGTTCACGGAGGACCTCGGGTCGCTGCTTGGCGCGTGGATCTAGGGGGCACTCCTAGCGAAGAGCGCCTTGTGCCCCCAGCGCTGTGTTCAGGCTACTGGGGCGCTGCCCTCAGCGAAGGGTGGGGCCCCGGGTTTCGGCGCGCGGGGAGCTGGGGGCCGCGGCGAAGGTGGCGCCCCTGATGCGCGCCGACCTGGGGGCCAAAGCCCGCCCCCGTGTGCGTCGCAGCGGGCGCGATGGGCGCCGGCGACTTGGACGTGGGCGAGGACGTCGCCAGGGACTTCATCGACGCGTGAGTATGCCCGGGCGGGCAGTGGCACGTTTGGACGGCGGGCTTTCGGGGCTGCGGCGGCCAGAGCGAGCGGATGATCCGCAGGGCGAAACCCTTCAGTCTCCTGCCAGACCGGGTCTTCAAGCCCGATGACGAGTGGACGGTGGTCGGGCAAGGGGCGTTGGCTAGCCGCCGACGACGTCGTCCTGGGCGAGCGCCGCTGCGCGGTGAAGATCAGCGGGGTGGCGGCGGCCGCGCCGGAGCTACATCGCACCCTGCTGCCCGTGCTGGAAGATGACTGGGAAGCGTCGGGAGCGGTGAACAAGGGCAGATCGCCAGCTCATCATCTCAATCATCTGCTACGACAGAAGACAGCGGCTGCGCGGGCACCGCGTTCCTGAATTCTGATTCCATGGGTGGAGTGCACCAGGCAACCTGCTGACCAGATATCGAAGTGCCTGAGCATCGCTGACCTACGCTACCTGGCCCATGTCGGGGCTGCGCAGGCTTCATAATGCGTCTCTGGAGAAGGTCGAGCCTCGCGCCCTTGCCACCTACAGGGTGGCGGCGAGGAAATTCGTGAACTCCCTGGACAGCCGCGGTTTGTCCCCGAAGGGCCCGAGCAGTGGGGTGACTTGCTGGTTGAATATAAGAACGAGGAGGAGCTCACCAAGTGCAACTTCGAGTGCGCAGTGGCCGCAGTGGAGTTCGTCTTCCCACGTTTGAGGGGGAAGCTGGCCTGGTCCCATTCAAATATCGATGCATGGAGGGTCGTGGCAGAGCGCCGCCCCGAGGGCGGGCGCCGGCGAACCTGGTGGCGATGCACTTTGCCTACCTGCCGGGGTGAGCCGCGCCTGGCAGTAGGACTGCTGCTCCAGGTGGGCGGAGGATTGCGCCCGTCGGAGATGCCTCAGCTCGGAGCAAAAGATGCATCGCTACCATCATCGAGGGGATGGCCGGACCAACAGCCGAACTGGGTCATAAACTTGGGGGCGAAGGCGGGGGCAAAAGCTAGAATCATGCAGTGCGCTGTACTACTTGAACGAGACGGAATCCTCGATGACCTCCTGCGCAGGGTCATGCGGGGGGCATTTCCAGAAGTTCTCCTCTTTCTGGGCTCGCTCGTCGGCGCAGGCTCAAGCAAGTTGAGGGGGCTTTGCGCCTAGACATCCGCTGGGCGCCGCGCTCTGCGCTCGCAGGTTTCGCCGGCGATTCCGTGGCACGCGGTGTCCCATTCCAAAAGAGAATGAGCAGGGGCGCGGGCTCGCAGAGTCCAGTCTCAGGATCTACGTGGACGTTGTCATCGCCTCACGCGTCCCGGGCCAGGCGGAGCAGCAAGGAATCGCGCGCCTGGCCAGAGAGGCGGGGCAGCAGCTGGCCCTCTACTTCTCGAAGGGCATCTTCGGCGAGACCGAGGGCGGCCAGCATGCCGCCAGCAGGCTACAGGAAGGCGGCGGACGGCAGTTTCCTCCCGCCGCAGGACGGCCAGCCCCCGCTACCACTAGCACGTGGACGACGATTGGCATCGCCAGCAGCGCCGCAGAGGTCACACCAGGCGATCAGCCTGGGGGCAGCGGTGGAGGACCTTCGACCCGCAACCGCCGCGGCCGGTGGCAGTGGCAGCGGCGGCGGCACGTTGCCGCGGGCGCGGGCGCGCCGGGGCTGGCCCCGCTGGCCGCCGTGGCTCAGCAGCCGCGGCAGGCGTCCAGGGCGTGGGCAGCGGGCGGGGCGGCTGGGCGCTGCCGCGCGCGGGTGTGGCCGCGTCATGCTGGGCCTGGAGGGCCCCCAGCCGAGCGGTCTCGTTGGTGGCGGTCGCCGCCGTGTTCCTGGCCTGGCTTTATCTGGCAACGCCGATCGGACGCTTCGGCGCAGTCCTGGGCGTGGCGGCGAAGATGTTGGTCTCCGCGGGCCACGTCGTGGATGGGGGGCTGGCGGCGGTGGTGACCGCGGCCCAAGGCGCGTCCGACATCGCGCTTCAGTCCTCGAAGCAGTCAGCGAGTCTGCTCGATGAGGCCTGGCGACGAATCGACATGGTCAACCTTGCGGGACATCGGCGCCATGCGGATCGCATAGCGGACGACCACGACGAGTTGCCCCAGGCGGACTTCCTCGACGTGGCTACGGCGCCCCTTGGAGCGGACGCAGCCGACCGTGCCCTTGAGGGCGCGTCGGCTTCGATCCCGCGCGTTCAGGAATCCTGGCAGGAGCTGCGCTGGCTAGGCCGATATCGAGAGCTCCACGTGACAAACGACCTGCTCGCATCAGGGTTCTCCGGCCTCCGCGCGGTTGGCCGCCAGGTGCTCCTCGAGGCCAGATGGGCATGCCCAGTTTGGAGCGCCCTCGACGCGTTGAGCCGCCCCCCCCTTGCCGGCGATCAAGTGCGTATCCATGTCAGACCAGGGGCTGGCGGCAGCAGGGCTCCCAGGTGCCTGGGTGAACCTTGGGCGCCAATGTGTGCGCGTGCTGTATCTCACAGCCGAGGGCGTTTTGCAAGTAATCGTGTTTGGCCAGTGACGTGTCGCTGCAGTTTTTGGGGGGCGCGCGGCGAGGGTGGGCTTGGGGGTCCGCTCCGGCTGTCAAGAGTGCCAGAAATCTTGTCTGTTGGGGCATGCGCGGCTTTCATTTTGCAGCTGCACGGCGCAGTGTCAACTAGCATTGCCTTCAGAAGACTCGCGAGCGTGGGCGGGGAGAGCCTCGGCGGCTGTAAACCGAGAGCATGCGCGTAACAAGCTGAGACAGCCAGCTATATATTGCAGCATATCTTGCAGCATTTCTCGCTACCTGATATGTCAAAATCCTGGGTGGCCTGCAACGTGACACCGTCATGGGTTAATGGATTTAAGAATGTGTACTGATGTGGAAGTGTGCAGTTGGGGTGGGGTCGTGAGTTTTCCCGAATGGAGCCTAGGAGCTGCTGGGAACGAGTAGGTTTCTGCTGGTGTTTTGTGGTGGGGCCCTGGGCGCTTGTGTTTCCCCGGCCCCCGAAACGGGTGGGCTCTGTGGCTTGGTTTTTGGATCCCCGAAGGCCTGGTCCGGGGGCTCCCGCGCGCTGTGCGCGTGCCTCGTGTGTGCCGCTCGTTCGTTCCGCAACCGTTTGTGCTCCGAAACCTTCCAAGTTTCTCGCGGCCCCCCCGCCGTCCCCCGCCGAGGCCAAGAGCCGCGGCGGCTGCAAGCCGAGATCGTGGACATACTGAGCTGAGACGGCCAGATATATGTTGTAGCGCTTCTCGCCTCCTGATATGTTTTACTCCTGTGTTGGCTGCAACATGACACCACCATGATGCAACTTATGATGACGATGCTGGTGATGATGTTGACGATGCTGATCATGATCACGACGATGATGATGACGATGATGGCAATGATGACGATGATGCTGATGATGCTGATGTTGATGGTGATGCTGATGCTGATGCTCATGATTACGTAGTACCCTGCAGTTGCGGATGAGAGTGAAGGGGCGGCGGGGACGTCTGCAGTCTGCGAAGCTCTGAAGAACTCCGCCGCAGGCGCCTATTTTTTAAACAAATGATACAATTGGCCCACCGCAGGCACCGATTTTTCGTTAAAGCAATGTGGGTGGGTCGCGGGATGGGTCGCGGGTGGGTCGCGGGCCGGGTCATGGGTGGGTCGCGCAGGTGGGTCGAGGGTGGGTCGCGGGTGGGTCGCGGGCGGGTCGCGGGGAGGGCCGTGGGGGGGCGACCGCGGGTGGGTCGCGGGCGGGTCGCGGTTGGGTCGCGGGTGGGGTCGCGGGTGGGTCGCGGGTGGGTCGCGGGCAGGTCACGGTGTGGGTCGCGGGTGGGTCACGGGCCGGGCCGCGGGGGGTACGACGCCAAACAACGCTAACAACAACAACAACGACACTAACAACAACAGCAACAACAACATCATCAGCAACAACGACACCGATAACGACAGCAACAGTAATGACAATACCAATCACAACACCATCAACAGCAACATCATCAACAACAACAGCAACAGCAACAACAACGACAACGACAATGACAACGACAACAACAACGACAACGACAACAACACCAACAGCAACAACAGCAACAACAACAACAACAACAACAACAACAACACCATCAAGTGACCGTTTTCTTATTCATTGTTTTGCCAATCGGCGCGGGCCTTCGTACCCCCCATCCCCCCCCAAGGAGTGGATCTTGGGTGTTTTTTGGCGAATGAGGGGCGAGAGGATTTTCTTAGACACGTCGTGAGCCATTCTGAGGCCCCTGGTAGCATGCCCAGTCAGACTCCATTCTCCTCAAGACCTTTGACCTCCCGTCATTCTGCACCCTGCCGAATCCCCGCCGTGTGCGAACCAGCCTCCCCCCGCTCCGAAACCTCCGACCTCCTCTTTCCTGGCCCACGCACACATAGTCACGGGATCTTTAGTTTCGCGTGGGATTTTCCCAGGGTCCACCCAGTTTGAAAATATGTTTACGAGTAGACATATTCTTCGAATGGCCCAAGAGAGGGCTAATAAGGCCTAGTTTCATACTCCCTGTGGCTACTTCATGCGTCAGTGGCTGAAGGGACCAGGCTGGTCCCACCTCGAGGCCCTAGCTGCGGTCCCCGTGCGTGGGACATGGCCTGGGCACTCTCCTCCTACAGTCCGAGGTTCACCGCGCCAGAGCCATCCAGAAATTACACACATTGTATGCTATTGGTTGCGCGCTTTTGATCAGCATCGCAGTGTAGAGCACTCGAGGAAGAAGCTAATGGCGCTAAAGGTGTGCGAATCGAATCGAATCCTCCTCCTCTTCCTCCTCCGACTTCGACTCTTCTTCTTCCTTCTCCTCCTCCTCCTCCTCCTCCTCCACAGTGGTTCTTCCAGCTTCTTCCGAGCGATGGGTGCCGCCCCCCAGAGAGGAGCTGAGAGCCGACCTGGCGAGGCTGCGGCAGCACCTGGGCAGGGCGTGCCCGCACTTCGGGAAGCGAGGTGTGCTGCAGTTGGCCGCGCCGGCAGGCGAGAGTTCCCCCCCCCTTTGGCGGGGGCGGGGCCCAATACCCTCCCCCGTCACGAAATCAGGGGCACAGATCGTCAGAGAAGCAAAGGGTACCGATGGCGCTGCCCTTCCCTCGTTTTCCCCTTTCCTGGCCTCCTGGGAGGCCATCGTCGCCACGGCAGGCCATGGTCAGAACGCACCCCGGGAGAAGTCTGGGGAATACAGTCGACCCGCACAATAAGGATGGGCAAACTTCCCAAGGGTACCATTGCATCCTTCCCTCGGTCCATCCTTGGCCAGTTTCGTTGGCCGCGCTCCGCTCGAGAAACTTCGAGATGGCCTTCCAATGCCCTTACATCCTTATCGTGCGTCCTTATCATACGGGTTGGCTGTAGCGGTATCAGGTATTGGTATCTTTTGGTTTCCCCAGATTGAGGCGATGGGCCCAGGAGGGAACCCATTGGCGCCCCACAGCCCATGGATCGCCGATGAGGGGCCTCATAGCCCACCCCCTTTCACACGCGGGCAGTCTCGCGATTGGGGACCGATCGCCGATCTATTAGTGCTGTCTCGCTGATTCCAGGTCGATGTTCCCCCCCCTGAGCCAGTCGCCCCTATCGTTCCCCTTCACTGAAGAGTCAAGGCGGTTGCCTTCTAGTCGAAGGAAAAACTGCATAAACAGAAGCTTGAAGACCCGTGGAAGTTAATCTATGTGTGTCTGTACTATTCAATCTAGGTCACCCCATGGGGGCAAATACAATCTCACCTCGCATCGCTGCTTAAGTTGGAGAGCCGCCCTTCTACAGGGCGGCGGGATGCGCGAAGTTAGGTGACCAAGGCTTTTTCCTGAATCCTGGGTCCAAGGAGGTTCGTCCTTGGCACGGTGATCGCCAACGAAGACGACCCCGCATGGTTGCCAAACGCGGGTCGTTTCTCTTCCTCCTCCTTGTCTCTCCAGTTTCACATACTGTAATGGCCTCCGGCCTGTGCCGCCGATCCGGGGCGTTCGGCGTGTTGCGATTCGACTATCCCTCTTCTCTCCCTCCCTCCCTGTTTTCCTCCCTCCCTCCCTCCCCCTCTCCCTCCCCAGATCCCTCCCCCCCACCCTGCTTCCCCTCCCTCCTCTCCCCGCCCTCCCTCCCCACAACCCTCCCCCCTTTCTCCCCTCCCCTCCTCTCCCACCTCCCCCCCCCGCCCACTTACCCCTCTCCGTAACGCTTTCTGCGGCGCACAAGGTATCCAGCTGCCTACGGCAAGTCCTGCGACCGTGCCAGTCGAGCCTTCTCAGTTGCAGCAGCTCCAATCGATGAGGTTGTTGATGGCGGTGGATGGTGATGAAGATGCTGTTGGTGATGATGATGCTGATGCCGATGACGTTGACGACGATGATGATGATGATGATGATGATGATGATGATGATGATGATGATGATGATGATGATGATGATGATGATGATGATGATGATGATGTCGATGACGACGACGATGACGATGCTGATGACGACGATGACGATGATAAGGATGACGACGATGATGATGAGGATGACGATGAGAAGGATGACGATGATGAGGATGACGATGGTGGTGTCTTCGATAATGACAAATAGGATGATAGGGACGAGAAGGGTGGTGACGTGGTGACGACGGTTAGGAAGAGTTGGAGGAGGAGGCGGGGGAGAGGCAGGTTCAGTGTTGTGGGCCTGTAGCCGTCGAGGTCCAAGCTTATTCCACACCTTTGCTTTCAAGTCTGTATCCCAATGGCGGTGGCGAAAGGGAAGGCGCCCGCGAAACGCAGAGCCATAGCAGCCTCAAGCGGCACCGCGGTGCAAGAGGATGCAGAGATTGAGGGCGAGCCGGCTGCGACTCGGAGGCCACACGAGGTGAACAAGAAGGCTGGACTGGCGAAGCCCATAAATGAGTTGAAAAGGCATCTGCGTGCCTCCCTCGTAGGGCACTTGGAAGTATTGCATCTTGTTGCAAAACATGCCGGGCCACAGCGGGCAAGCGAGGCTGAGAAGGCATTATCGCGGCACAAAACTATTACGTATTGCTGTGGGTGTGATGACGGGGAGGGGAAACCTGAAGCAGACTGGAATCGCGTAGGCCACAGTGCTCTTGCGAGTTTGGAACACTTAGAACGATGCATAGCTGCAGCGGGTGTCGCCGGGCAGGCTTTGCAGGGGAAGCACGTGTCGATGGTGTTGCGGAACACTGATGAAACAGCAAAACAGCTCCGGAAGGTCAGGCCGAAAAGTTCGAGAGCGAAGGCAGCTGGCGTGGATAAGGCGAAGTATGCGCAATCGTGGAAGGACAGTGTCGCGAAGGCCCGGGCTGAATTAGGGTTGCCAGGCAACGCGAGTTTTGCTAAAGGAACGCCCTTGTACATAAGGCGAAGGAATTCCACGGCGAAGCGAGGGAGCGCGCACTTGCGTGAGGTAGTCCTGGTCTCTGCAACGTGTGAGCATAGGGTTGTAGCGACGCCGCTCGGCGGATGGAGCGACACCCGCGCTCGCGTGAGGTAATCGAGGTTTCTGCCAACAATTAGCATGAAGTAGTCGCGACACCGTTCTGACGGAACCGCGCGAGACCACGCGCGGACGTTGAAAATCGAACCACATCTATCCACATCATCGTGCGTAATTAGTTGCCAGCGCAGGACACACTTGTGCGCACGTGCGCGTGCGTGTGCCGTTCCACGCAGGACACGGCGGGCACGGCGGCGACGGCGCGGCGACGGCGCATGGCTTGAGGAGGCCCCCGACTCGGGTTTCCATGGGAGGAAGCGTTTGTGGGCCCCGACTTCCAATACCGATTTTCAGGAATTCTGGGAAATCTCCGAATCGGAAAATGGCGCCGGGGAGCGCCGAGGAGTGCGATGGAGTAGGGAGTATGTGTTTTTTGGACCCCACGATCCTTACGCTTGGTGAACAGTCGAGGCCGCCTTAAATGTGGTGGTGGAGGAGGAGGAGGAGGAAGAGGAAAAGGAGGAGGAGCGTCCGCCTTTTCTCCTTCCCGCACCTCGTCACTCCCATCTCCTATGCTTTGCTCCCTGCACTTTCCCCGTTGCTCCCTCCTCCCTCCTCGCTCTTTCTGCCTCCTAATTCCTCCCTCCTCCCTCCTCGCCCGGCCTCGCCCCGTCGCTTCTTCCCTCTCCCGCCTGCCGCTCGCAGCCTCCCTCCAATTCCCCTCTGGATCCAGCCCCCCCGTCTCGTCTCTGCACCTCTCCCCTCCTCTTGGCATTCCTCCCTCCCTCCTTGCGCTCTCTTCTTCCCTCCTCCTCCTCTTCCACGTTCTTCCCTTCTCCCTCCCCCTCCCTCTCCTTCCTCCCCCTCCACATTACCTCCTCCCTCCTCCTCCCTCCTTCTCCTCCTTCCTCCGTGTCTCTCTCCTCTACCTCCTCTGCCTTCCCCCCCCCCCCCGTCTACCTCCTTTCCTCCCTCCTTGCCTTTCCCCTCCTCCGTCTTGCTCCCTGACTGCACCCCCCACCCTCCAGGGAAAAGCCTCCGAACTCAAACGCTGAACGACAGCGGAACGTGATCGTTTTCTTATTCATTGTTTTGCCGATCTGCGCGGGCCCTCGCACCCCTCCTCCCCCCCCTATGGAGTAGATTTTGGCTGTTTTTTTCGCCTGTTTCGAGCAGGTGGAGTCTCCCCCATAGGACGCACTGTTGCAAACAGTCGCACTAAGCAGAGGTCCGGAGCCAGACCCCCCCCACTTCCGCCAAATGTCGAAACTCCGAACAAGAAAACGTTCATCACGCCTTCGGGAACATCCGAAAGCCACGCGGGGCCCTCAGGCGAGGGGGGCTCCATCGCCGACGCGCCGCCCCGTTTCAACAAGTACGCCGGCTGGGCGGAGGGGCGAGGGGAGGGGAGGAAGAGGGGAAGAGAGTGAAATAAGGGGGATGATGATGACGATGACAACGATGACAATGACAATGACAATGACAATGACGGCGACGATGATGCTGATGATGATGATGCTGATGATGATGATGATGATGCTGATGCTGATGATGATGATGCTGCTGATGATGATGACGGTGATTATGGTCAATTCGATTCTGAACGATGATGGTGTGTATGTTGATAGCGATGGCGAACGTGATGATGCTGTTGACGACTACGTTACGACGGCGACGACGACCACGTCCACGACCACGACGTCGATTGCCGTCGCGATGATGACGACAACGCTGGTGGTGGTGGTGATGGTGATGTTGTTGTTGATGATGATGATGATGCTCACGATGGTTGTGGCGGTTGTGATGTTTAGGATGATGACCGTGGTGAGGATGATAGGGATGACGAGAATCTGTATGACGATGTAATTATGGTGATGGTGGTGATGGTGATGGCGAAGGTGGTGCTGATGACGATGCTGGCGATGGTATTGGCGATAACGACGATGACGATGTCGATGACGATGACGATGCTGATGATCATGCTGATAATGAGGATGAGGATGATGATGAGGGTGTGGATGCTGATGATGATGATCATGATGCTGAAGATGATGGCAATGATTCTGATGCCGGTGATGATGGTGGTGGTGATGATGTTGATGCTGATGCTATGACGATGTCGACGATGATGATGCTGATGACGATGATGATAATGACGACGATGCTGATGATGCTGACGATGAGGATGATGATGATGCTGATTCGGGTGATTAGGATGATAAGGGTGATGATGCTCGTTCTGCTGGTGATGATGCTGCTGCTGATCATGATGGTGACAATGATGATGCTGATGATGATGCTGATGATGTGGTAATGTTGATGACGACGCTGCTGATCATGTCAATGATTACTATCATGGTATTGGTGATGATGATTATGCTGATCGTGCTGCGTCTGATGCTGACGCAGATTTGCCTGCTGATGATGCTGTTGAAGGTGATGACGATGAGGGGGAGGATGATGATGAGGGTACTGTTGATAATGATGATAAGGATGACGCCGAATCTGATGCTGCTGCTGATGATGACGATGATGATGCTGTTGATGCTGCTGCTGCTGATGATCATCATCATGCGGATGATAATGCTGATGATGATGGAGTTGATGCTAATGATGAGGATGATGATGCTGTTGAGAATGATGATAATACCGACGACGACGACGACGACGACGACGACGACGACGACGATGATGATGATGATGATGATGATGATGATGATGATGATAATGCTGCTGATGCTGATGCTGATGTTGATGCTGATGCTGATGTTGATGCTGATGCGTATGATGACGATGGCGATGCTGACGATGATGCCGATCATGATGCTGATGATGATGATGACGACGACAATGACGACGATGATGCTGCTGATGATGACGATGATGACGCTGCTGCTACTGCTGCTGCTGATGATGATGATGATGATGATTCTGATTCTGATTCTGATGATGATGATGATGATGATGATGATGATGATGATGATGATGATGGTGGTGGTGGTGGTGGTGGTGGTGATGATGCTGATGCTCATGCTGATGACTGGGATCCTTCTGCTGCTAATTATTAGGAGGACGAGCTTTACGTGTTTGGTCCTTCGTGGGCTTCCTGGAGGGCCCTCGTGGCCATGGTTGGGTCTGTTTCGGAGTCCTGGTCAGCACGCGCTCCAGGACACGTCAGGGGGTTGATCTTGATGGGGGGAGGTGATGCATGTAGTGAGGGATGGGGAAGACAAGGGCTGTAGGGGTTTCTATTCTTGAAGCTTCGCGTACCCCTACCATTGCAGCGCAGCTCGGCGGCTTAGGCAGCTTAGGTTTGACCCCGCGCTCTAGTTTGCTGCTCGCTGTCAATTGGTAAGGACCGCGCCCCGGACTTACCGACCCGCCGCCTACGCCTTCGCTTGCGGCCGCGACCAAAAAAGTATCCCTACCATCGCGTCCTGGCCTGGCGGGGGAGCGGCCCCGCGACTCCGCGGGTGCCGCCCCGCCGCCAGTCGCCACGAGGTGCCGATCGCTCGCCTCTCCTCTTTCCTCGCCCTCGTCCTCTTCGTCCGCCCCGGCCCCCTTTCCCCCCGCGCCAGCGGCTCAACCTCATCCCGGGGCGCCCGGGGCTCCCGAGTGCACGTGATTCAGCCTGTGCGCTCCTGGCTGTCGGCCGACCGTGTTGTTTTGTCCCATGGTCCCTGGCGGCGACGCCCACGGCATCCTCTTGCTCCCTCGTTCCGGTGCTGAGGCGTGGATCTCCCTGGTTCGGTCAGCCCTCAGTTGTCGCTTCCTGCTCGAGAGTGCGCGTGGCTTTGCCTGATCCGGTGGTTCAGGCGCTGACGGTGTCGATTACATCTATCGTTCCCCTGGCTACTTCGCCCGTCCCTGGGGCCTTCCGTGGACGGACGTTCGCAGGATCAGTACTCCCCTCTGGGGATTTGGTGTGCGACTTTGGTGGCGCCACCCGATGCACCAGTTTGGACCAGTTTGGGCATTCATGGCAGTCGTCGCAGTGTATTGGCTGTCCGCCTCCCTGGTCACACCCTGGTATTTTCCTCGCGCCATTTCGGCTGCGCCCCAACCCTGGTTGGCTAATTTGCATGTGCGCGCCCCTGGACCAGATCGCTGGCAGCTGCGGCTTGCATCCCCCTCTCGCCGGCCCGCCCGCCGAGGCGCTGCCTGAGGTCGCCGGCCCGTCGGCGTTAGGTAATTCGGCTCCTGCGCGGCCCGCTCGGACCTGACTCGCCGCTGGCGCACTCGCCTGCGGTTGCGACATAAAATACCTCTACCATCCATCAAAAAACAATCACTCCGACGGTCGGACCCCGCATGATAATCGATTGAGCTTGCCCCTCGCCTTTTTCTTCTTCGTCTGGCGGAGGTTTCCTTCCGCCCTCTCCGTCCCCCTCCTCCTTCTCCTCCTTCTCCTCCTTCTCCTCCTGTTTCTCCTCGTCCTACTCGTTGCATTTCTCATCCTCTTCCTCTTCCGCCTCCTCTTCCGCCGTCTCCACCACTTCCTCCCTCTCCTGCTCACGTTCCTCATCCTCCTCGGCCTTTGCCTTGCTTTTCGTAGCTCAGTCACGCTGGTGGAGGCCCAACTACGACGACAAGGGCTCCCGCTCGATGCTTCTTCACGATTTACTCCGAGAGGTCCTGGCCAGAGAGGCGCCCGAACTCAGGAACGGCGCTGTCGCGGGAGTTTTCCTCGTAATTCAGCCGAGTTGGTGGAGGCCCAGCTCCCTCTCGATGCTTCCTTACGATTCACTCCGAGAGGCTCTGGTCACAGAGGCCCCCGAACTCAGGAACGACGCTCTCGTTCGAGAGTTCTTCGCACTTCAGTCGGTGGCCGACAAGGAGGATATTTCCCCCCAGTAAGGATCGAAGGAGATGTGGGCGGGTATCGAGGGTTGTGGTTGATTGAGTGAAAGACCTGCGTGCAAATAAGAGCGAATAGTCTTAAACTGATTGATGCCGTTGTTGTTCTTGTTGTTGTTGCTGGTGTGGTTGTTGTTTTTTTTATTCTTGTTGTTGTCTTTTTGGATTTTGTTGTTGTCGTTGTTGAACATTATTAATTCTAAAGAATAATTATTGTTGGGGCCCCTGGTGCACGGCCCCCCTGCGCCGCCTAGGCCGCAGCTACATTTTCATCATTTTCGTGAGGAAGCCTCAGGTAATTCGATGTGATCAAGATCCGGTTGTTTTGTTCCCCCCCGCTTTCCCTTGCAAAAAACACTATAAAATGACATTTCTTGTTCTAATATAATCAAATTTCAAGAATCCCTTGCAAAAAATAAGGTAAAGTGGACATTCGCGCGCGCAAGACGAAATCCTTCCAAAAGCTTAGTGTTCGGAGCGATTTTAACATAAAAACATCAAAAAACCAATGGTTTTTCAACAAAAAATTGTCAAAATCTCATCCCGCGCGCTCTTGCGGATTCGTAGGAAACCCAACACTTTTTAAACATTTCTGTCAAACGGGCTTTTGCGAGCAACTTTTTCGAACTTCTGCGACAACGGTTGCGCACCTGCCAGGGCCATCATCCCTGTCAAATAATACCATGCGGGACACATTCGTTTTTTCTTCGCGCGCGCACGCCGAAATCTCCAAAAACCATTGGGCTTCTTAAGAATTTTAGCACCGCGCATCATAAAATCACACGAATCGCACCGTAGGTCCTCGAAAAACACCTGCACGACTTTTCAAAATTTCTACCCGCGCGCGCTGTCCGAATCCTAAAAACAACCATCGGGACAACCATCGGGACAATCATCGGGACAGTCATCGGGACAACGATCGGGACAAGCACAACCATCAGGACAACCATCGGGACAATCATCGGGACAACGATCGGGACAACCACAACCATCAGGACAACCATCGGGACAACCATCGAGACAACCATCGGGACAACCATATCCTCTCTCTCTTGTGTATTCCCACATCCCTCAGGAATTTGCCCTAAAGATGTGATCAACTATCTTGTGAGTACGTATCATGTGTATCATGTGTATCATGTACCATATGCATCATATGCAACAGATGTTCTGTGGAAGGCTTAACAACTTCTGTGGGTTAACAAGGCTTAACAACTTCTGTGGGTGTACGAACGTAGGATTAACAACTTATGTGGGTGTGTACACTATGCCAGTGTAGTAGCCACGGTCGTCCGCAGGCCACGAAGTGAAGTGTCCGAACGTCATAGGGCGGGAAGCTGGGTGTGGGTGGTGGCGAAGAGTCGTGTGGATATTTGGTAGAGCTTGCACTGCCCCCCCACAAAGTGGGGGTATTGGCTGGCGTCGCATGAAAACCCTGGCACTGGTGAGAACACTGAGCGTTCTGGTAAAGTGATTGTTGTTGTTGTTGTTGTTGTTGTTGTTGTTGTTGTTGTTGTCGGTATTCTTCTTCTTCTTATTATTATTGCTGTTATTGTTGTTGTTGGTGTTGTGGTTGTGGTTGTGGGTGTCGTCGTAGTCGTTGTTATTGTTGTTGCTGTTGTCGTTGTTGTCGTTGTCGTCGTTGTTGTTGCTGTTGTTGTTGCTGCTTGTTGCTTGTTGCTTGCTGCTGGTTGCTGGTTGCTTGTTGCTTGTTGCTTATTGCTTGTTGTCCGTTGCCTGTTGTTTGTTGTTTTTGTCGTTTATTTTTGATTGCTCGGTTTTGTTGTTTTTTCTTATTGTCTTTTGTTTCACTTATTTTGAGTGGGCAAGCGCGCGTTGGCACCATGGCGTGTCGTGAGGGCTATCGGCTCTGGTTGCGGTCTCCCCTGCCCTCAGACGGCGGGCACAGGAGTGGCAGAACGCGGTCATACTGTGGGTCAACGTGTGCGGCGGCTCTTTCTCCAATTCCTTCACGCACGGAGGGAGCCAGGCCGCTGGGCGCGCGGCGCGAGTGCTCATGCTGCCTCATGCTGCCAGCCTGCCTGCCTGCCTCATCCCTGCTTCCTGCCTCGGGGTCCAGCCTTGCAAACGTACTCGCTGCAGAGAGCTCGCAGAGACCCGGGGACACTCCGCCTGGTGCCCACGGCGCGGTAGCGGCATTCTCCCGATGGGACAATCTTCGGGGAGAGGGTGACCCACCCTGCGACGGAGCTTCCCCGTCCCCACCACCTACCCGGCTCCTCAGCGCGAGCCCATCCCCCCCAAACCCACCCCGACCGAAGGCGGGAGGGCCATTATCGTCCTACTCGGAGTCGTCTTGGAGTCAATGTGGTCAGCCTTGCTGGCCGGAAGGACGCAGAGGGGACCGCGGGTTCCAGTTGTGAGGCAGCAGGCCTTCAGATGCCGCTTTGGCACAGTGCTCTAGTCAAAGGAAGCATCTGTCGAGGAAGAAACACGGCGTATACATGAACTTGCGGAGCTCCGCTCGGATTTCTCGGATCTGCGCTGGGCCCGCCTGGCGGCGCCCGATCCACGGATTCCGTGCGAACCTCCGAGAAATTAGGTCTGTGCAGTTATCTGTTCGCTTGTGAGTTTGTATCATCTTCTACGGTCATTTTATTAGCCGTCTCGCCACCATGTTGTTCTTCGGCCATTGACAGCCCCAGGGGCATCTTTTTGCTTGACTCTGATTCGCGTGCGTGGCCCCAATGCAGGGGCCTACACATGTTAACGTGCACACGTTTCCACATATTTTCAAGCACATGAGTATACGTAGCATCATTTCGCCTCTTTCTTATCGTGCTCGTCCAACTTTCTCTTCTCTTCATCCTTATTTTGCTATCCTTGCTCTTCCGCTTCCGCTTGCTCTTTTCTTCTGTTCCCTTCCTCCATCCCCTCCTTCACCTCGTCCCCCTTCATCTCACTCTTCTTCCACCTCGCCTTGTGGACCTCATCATCTATTTCCATATCTTTTCTCCGTAGCCAGTTTGGCTTGATCGTAGATCAAGTCTTCGCCGTGGGAGGCCGCCCGAGAAGTTAGGACGCCTACGTCGCAGCCATGGCAGAGACGTTCGCATTCAATGCTGACATCCAGCAGCTTATGAGCTTGATCATCAACACCTTCTATTCCAACAAGGAGATTTTTCTGCGTGAGCTCATCTCCAACGCGTCCGATGCCCTGGACAAGATCCGGTACGAGTCCATCACGGACCCGGATAAGATCGAGGCGCAGCCGAATTTTTACATCAAGATCGTCCCCGATAAGACGAATTCAACCATCACGATCGAGGACTCGGGCATCGGCATGACCAAGAACGAGCTGATCAACAACCTCGGCACCATCGCCAAGTCTGGCACCAAGGCCTTCATGGAGGCAATGGCAGCTGGCGGCGACATCTCCATGATCGGACAGTTCGGAGTCGGCTTCTACTCTGCGTATCTCGTCTCGGACAAGGTGCGCGTGATCAGCAAGAACAATGACGACGAGCAGTACATTTGGGAGTCTGGAGCTGGCGGCTCCTTCACGGTACAAAAGGACACAGAGATGGTGCACGGCGAGATCAAGCGCGGCACCAAGATCATTTGTTATTTGAAAGAGGACCAGTCGGAGTTTTTGGAGGAACGCCGTCTGAAGGATTTAGTCAAGAAGCACTCGGAGTTTATCGGATTCCCTATCGAGTTGTACGTCGAGAAATCCAAGGAGAAGGAGGTTACGGATTCCGAGGACGAGGAGGAGGAGAAGAAGGACGAGGAGAAAGAAGGCGACGAGCCTAAGATCGAGGAGGTCGACGAGGAGAAAGAGAAGGAGGAGAAGAAAAAGAAAACCAAGAAGGTTAAGGAGGTTTCTCACGAATGGGAGCAGCTCAACAAGAACAAGCCGCTGTGGATGCGCAAGTCCGAGGACGTGACCAATGAGGAGTACGCCTCGTTCTACAAGTCCCTGTCAAACGACTGGGAGGACCACCTGGCCGTGAAGCACTTCAGCGTCGAGGGACAATTGGAGTTCCGCGCGCTGCTTTTCGTGCCACGGCGGGCACCTTTCGATCTGTTCGAGTCCAAGAAGAAGCGCAACAACATCAAGCTGTACGTGCGACGCGTATTCATCATGGACGACTGTGACGAGTTGATGCCCGAATGGCTGAACTTCGTGAAAGGCGTTGTTGACTCCGAGGACCTGCCGCTGAACATCTCCCGTGAGACGCTGCAGCAAAACAAGATCTTGCGTGTGATCAAGAAAAACCTAGTCAAAAAATGTCTCGAGATGTTCGCCGAAATTGCCGAGAAGAAGGACGATGTGCACCGCTTCGCGGGGACACGGCCGAACATATCTCCCTTACCGTCCACCCGGCGGGTACACGAGTTTTGGATAATTGTGTAGTGGAGTTGGAATTTGCCACCCCTCGTCCTTCTGTTCCTCCTTGTCCTCGTGCTCGTCCTCGTCTTCTATGCGTGCTCGTCCGCGTCTTTTGCTTTGTCACCCCCGCCCCCCTCCCTCGTGTCCTGGTTCTTTTCCTCGTTCCCACCTCCTCGTCGTCCTCTCCCTCCGCCTCCCCCGTCGTTCTTCTCCCGCTCCCTCCCCCCCTCTCGCTCCTCTCTCCTCCTCCCACTTCCTCCCTGCCCGTCCTCCTCTCCCCCTTCTGGACCTCCTCCTCCTCTTTGGGGCTGCCTTTCGGCCCTCCTGGGGCTGCATTAGGACCGCACCATTGGCACAGAACTGGCCACGGCCGTTACCCTGTACGGAGGCGCCGTTTACGCCCTCCAGCAGCAGCAGCAGCCTGTTGCGACCAGCTGCCTCACTTCGAGGTTCAGCCCTCGCTGCGACCAGTTGCCCTCCTTCCCGAACGTGCGCTGGTCGTCCCAGACGTCAGACGCCGGTTCTCTGTCGAAGCTCCTCGCCGCACCCGGAACTCGCAGCACTTGCCCACGGACTCGCAGCCCGAGGCCCACCACCAGGCCTTCTGCTCTGTGCAGGTGGCGCGGCGCTCATCCGTCGCTTGCAGGGCGATGCCAACCTCGTGGCAGATCTGCGCTGTTGGGGCGATGAGATCTGTACCCCGCGCCCTTGGAGGCCCACAAAAGTGCGGAGGACATCCTCGTGCTCTCGCCCTTCTCTCCTCCTCCTCCTCCTCCTCCTCCTCCTCCTGTTGTCCACCTCCGCTGGTCAGGCCCATCCTGGGCCCCGGAGCGGTGTGTGCGCCCCCCTGGCTTGCCAGGGAGGCACGTGCGCCGCAGGCCAGGCCCAGGACGGGCCTGGCCAGCGGTGGCGGACACGTGTAGGTCTCGTCGCCCCGTCTGTGGGTCTCTTTAGGGTTCGCATGTGGCCCCCTACTCTTGCCGGCCCGTGGCCCAGACCGTGTCTCAGCCTGGTTCGAAAGAGCGCGGCCTCCCGCTCCAGTCCGTCCGCGCGCTCGGTGCCCAGCGTTGGGGGCCCGCTTGAGCCAGCGGCAACCAGGCCTGTCCAGTGCGGGCGTGCAGCTTCGGCATCGCCATCCACACACACCCACACGCGGTGTACCACTCATCGATTGAACCAGTGACGCAGGTCGACGTACGTGAGGGGGAAGAGAAGGATCCGATCTGGTCTGCATCCCGTCTGAGGCTGACCACTGAGATGCGGGGTGCTCTGGGACTCCCTCTCATTCACACACGCGTTTTCCCTCAGCGCCGTCTCTGTCGTATTCTTTCAGTTTTCTGGGGGGTAGGAGGAGGAGGAGGAGGATGAGGAGGAGGAGGAGGAGGAGGAGGAGGAGCAGGATGAGGAGGAGGAGGAGGAGGAGGAGGAGGACGAGGAGGACCAGTGTAGACTAAGGATGCGTGATGCATCAACGATGCTGCAAGATACTCTCCTGTCCCGGGTCTCCTCATCCGTCCCTGCATGTATTCCTGTCCACTGCGGGAGGCGCTCGTTAGGCCTGCTACTCAGGCGAGGCCCCTTTGAACAAAAGATCCACCCTCCATCCTTCTGGCTGGCAGGAAGCGAGGATGATAAAATCAAGAAAGTGTCCGGCGAGAGTTCCGCTTAGAAAGTCTCTGCCATCCATCCGTGTAGTCTAGCGTCGCGCTTTCAAATTTTGATGCCATGGGAACAGGGAATTCCAAACGATAGCCTCGTTTTGAACATGAGCCGCCCTCTACCCGTGTAGCATTTTCACAATCGGAACTTCGGATCATATCATCTGAGGAACTCTCAAGCAAAGACCCGCATTTCGAAAACGTGCCGTCCTCCATCCTTATAGCTGTTAGAAGGTTTAATTGTGCATGGGGCTGTGGCTCAGGCCACAGTCGCATCTGAAAACCACCAGCCGTCTAGCCGTGTAATAGTTGGAATAAAACGAAAGCGCGCGGCCCAAGGTCGAGAGCTGTATCGTGAAATCGACACGTTCTCCGTCCGTACACCTGTCGGAACTTGCTAGTTTCAGGATCGTAAGACAGAAAGATGTCTCAAGCGAAACGCCTGGCCCGGCCTGCGCACACTTCTGGTGGTGCGACAGGGGGGGAATTATTCATTCGGACGAGGGATGGACGGATGAGGAAGCGGAGGAGGAAGGAGGAGGAGGAGGAGGAGGATGGGGAGGAGAGACCAGTGTAAATCCAGGATTCATGACCGATGTTGGAGTACACCCTCCCTTCAAGTTCCCTTTACGTCGGCCCCTACAATCATTTGTTTCCACTGAGGGAAGTGCCGGTTGGGGGGACAACCGTTTCAAAGTTCTGAAGCGTGCCAACACACCTTCTCAAGACTTCAACGCCACGAGTCGACCTGGCTGTTGCGTCTTGACGATCCTGAGTAGTGCCAGAGCACTATTCCTGGGACTTCAACACCGCGAATCAACGTAACTGTTGCTCCCTGACAATCCTGAATCGTTCCCAAACGGCCTGTTTGGTACGCTATCCATGAACATGAATGACAACTTGTTGAACAGAATGTGCGCTGCGTGCGCTACGGCTCGAGCCACATTTTCGAAATGAACCGCCCTCAATCCTTTAACTTCTTATAGTTTTTGCAATAAATGTTCGAGGCGCTACGGCGAAAACCACATTTTGAAAAAGGAGCCGCCTTCAATCCGTGAAGCTCTAATCCGTGAAACTCTTGCGCACTTTTAGAACGGCATGTGCGCGGCGCTAAGGAGAGAACCACATTTTGAAACAGACCCGTCATCAATTCATGAAGCTCTTGCAACTTGTTATAACGAATGTGCGCGGCGCCGAAGCGAGAGCCACATTTTGAAACGAATGTTCGCGGCGCTGAGGCGAGAGCCAGATTTTAGAGGCGACCTGCCCTCCATCTGTGAAACTTTTGCCAGTTTTGAAGCTTGAGGCTCATCGTTGGTAGGGAAGTCAGTCGAAACGCCTAGCCCACCCTTCCGATTGGCCTCGGGGTGCGACAGGGAGGAGTTGTTCATAAGGATCAGTAATGGAGAGAGGGAGGGATGGAAGGAGGAAGCGGGACGAGGAGGAAGCGGGGGGAGGAAGAGGAGGAGGGGAAGCGGATTGGAGGAGTAGATGTCCAGTTGCCAATCGCCCACTGAAGGGTGGCCGGAGGCTCTTTCGGTCATCAGGGTCCGCTGCAGGGTCCACCCCCGTTCGGCCCCTAGACACGGAGCCTCATACTGGGTCAAAGAGCTCCCGAGCGCTCTCCCGCCCACCCTCCTGGTCAAAGAGCTCCCCGGGCGCTCTGCGGGGGGAGGCCCCTTCAAGCTCTGGCCCCCAAGTGGCCGGGATAGTGGGCACTTCGAACCAGAAATCGGCCTGCCAGCGGGTGCCCCGCGTTTTTTTGTGATCGCCCGATTGCCCCAGGGACCCTCAAGAAGCTCTGGGGCACCTCAGGACCCTCAGAGATCTACGAAGAATGTGCCCCAATATTTCTGATAGCAAGAATTCTTATCGTATTGTTCTGGGCCTCCGAGATGGAATCCGAGTAGATGGGGTCGAAGGAGCGCGCCTCAGACCCGATGCATCGGCGATGCGGCTCGAGGTGGAGCCCGTCCTTCCCCACGCCGACGTCGCGGATGCGTCGCCGATGCATCGCCGATGCATTGGCGATGCGGCGTGATCCTTCGACCCCATCTACTCGAACCCCATCTAGGAGGCCTCTAATTGTGTCTGAGGTGGGAGGAGCGTTCTCGCGCACCAGTACCCCAAATGGGGGTCGGTGGACTACAAGAAGTTCTACGAGCAGTTCGGCAAGTGCCTCAAGTTGGGCGTGCACGAGGACTCCACCAACCGCACCAAGGTCGCGGAGCTTATGCGCTACCACACCTCGAAGTCTGGCGACGAGACGATCAGCCTGAAGGAGTACATCGACCGCATGAAGGAGGGGCAGAATGACATCTACTACATCACAGGTGAGAGCATCGCAGCAGTGTCGTCCTCACCCTTCCTGGAAACTCTGCGCAAGAAGGGCCTTGAGGTCCTTTACATGACCGATCCCATCGATGAGTACACCGTGCAGCAGCTGAAGGAGTTCGACGGTAAGAAGCTCAAGTCGACGACCAAGGAGGGCCTGGACCTCGAGGATGAGGACGAGAAGAAAAAACTCGAAGAGATGAAGGCGGAGTTCGAGCCGCTGACGAAGCTGATGAAGGAGGTGCTGGGCGACAAGGTGGAGAAGGTGGTGATCAGTTCGCGCATGGCGGACTCGCCCTGCGTGCTGACGACCTCGGAGTACGGCTGGTCCGCGAACATGGAGCGCATCATGAAAGCGCAGGCTCTCAGGGATAACTCCATGACCTCCTACATGGTGTCCAAGAAAACCATGGAGGTGAATCCCAAACACTC